TGGACCCAGTGCTTTGTAGCTCAGCAGGGTGGAGGGTTATAGTCCCTCTCTAGATAAGGTCTTACCTGCTTCTAGTCATGTGATTACACTTGATTCCCCAGCAAAATTATGTATTGCTCATGGAGTCCCTTGTGAATTTTAAAACCATGCCAAAGGTTTCCTGTATGTGGGAATTAGTCCTAGCTGAGTGCCCTGTTCCGCTTTGAGCTAGTTTCAAATGAATAATGAACACTGTTGGTAACAGTTACCACATAGCAGCTCCTCCCTGCCTCCACTCACAGCCAGCAGGGAGCCTAGTATTCCAGTCTAAAATCTAACCTGCCACCAGCCGGAGTTAACCCACTCCCTTAGACTCCCTCCACCACTTGGCTTCCCCAGTCACCCTGGGAAAAGCACCAAAAGGTCAGACTCTTTTTAAGGTGTTTGGCTGGTTTTAGTCTCATTTGAAGTGCTGAGAATATAAATGTAAAATAGTAAATGGTCTTTTGAGGGTGAGGACCTCCGGTGGGGAGAGATGTGAACAAACGTGGTGGCACAAGGTGATAGAGGACCATCAAAAAGGACACGCTGGGGCCTGGTAGCGCACGTCACCTCTCTGGGGGAGGTCCACAGCAGAGGAGATGACACGAAAGCTGACCCTGGAGAAAGAGTAACAGTTTGCCTAATGAAGGGAAAGGAGGGACTCCAAGCAAGGTGAACCCCATAACTCAGGCTCAGCCATGCAACAGAACTGCCAGCTTGGCCAATGGTAAGTGCTTGCTCTCTGTGGCTGCCATATATGGTGAGAGGTAATGAGGTTGGCAGGCATAAAAGGAGTGGAAGATGAAGTGGAAATGGTTGGTAGGGGTCAGATTATAACAGAGCTTGTCCACCTCAGGAAGGGGTCTGAACTTCTATCCTTCAAGCCAGCGTTCCTCGAATTTGGCCTGATGTACCCCAAAAGGCAGTGAATAGCACAGACATGGAGGTGTCTTGAGCTCAAACTCTCTTTAAAAGTCTTTAATCTCATGTGATTCTTGCATTCTGCTTCATCATACGTCTGAATATTTTTAAATGTTGTTTTCCTGAATCTCTAAATAAAATTTATACTTGAGGAAGATGTAACTATTCTATAGCTCCTTCCCTCTGTTTTCTTACATGAATCCCCCATGCCCAGAAGTTGCTTCAGCCAATTTGAGGACAGCCATAGGGATTTAAGCAGAGGAATTATATGATAAGATTTATCTTCTAGCAGTAGTATCAGGATGGACCGGAGATCGGAGAGCCTGGAGGCAGAGAGACCCAGTGGGAGACTACAATCACCCAGGCAACAGACTGTAAGGTAATAGAGAGAAAGGAGAACAAACCTGAGAGACATTTAGAAGTGGTATTAATAGTATTGGTATAGAGTTGGGGAGATGTGGGAATGGACCATCCTCAGGTTTTTCTCACCTAGTGATGCCATTAATAAAAATAGGAACCATAGGGCAGTTCTGGCAGGGGGGATAAATAAGCTTAATTTAAGCCCACTGAGTTTGAGGTGCCTAAGGGAAATAGGGTTGGAAATATCAAGATGGAAATTACATAAACGGGTCTGACAGTTGGGAGATCCAACTGGAGATATAGATCCAGCAGTCATGGGAATAGGTGAGACCACTCGGGGAGTCCGCACAGAGGGAGGAGAGAGGAGAATGATATGGGAACCCTAGGAATCATCAATGTTCAAAGGCAGATTTAGAGAGCAAGGGAGAATGGGAAATGAATTCAAAAAGTCAGGAGAACCATGATTCCCTGGTGAATGGCCAATTCTAGGGCTGAAGCAGGGAAAGCACACAATGAGCCCAGAACATCTTGCGTCAGAAAGCAAAGAAATGTTCAAAGAATGATGGGGACAAATCCAAAGGACACAGGAGCCAACCTGAAGTTTCTTCCACCAGCCAAATCTGTGATAAATTGCTCATTAAAACAAATAATCCTAGGAAAGGATTATAACCTACTTAGGGGAAACCCATGTCAACACTGATTAAAACAACCAAGAGCAGGTCCAAGCCCTAAACCAAGAACTGACAACATGAGCCCGGCTAGATTTCAGAATCTCTGTGAACTAGACACTGCTATGTGTGCCTTCTGTTTTTCTCCTTTTTAAAATGATAATATCCATAGCAATTATCCTATGCCTCTACTACTAATGTATACTGGGTGTGTATGAGGCAGATATGTGCCTCTTTATTTCACAGGTCTGCAGGTCAAGAGGACTGGTACTCACAGAGTTATAGCCAAGAAACTGGACCTGAGGATTCATAGCCACGTCAGGACCTGATTTAGATAGTGGACTTCAAGTTGGTGCTGTTATGGAATGAGATGTGGGGGTCTTGAGGAAGGGAATAAATATATTTTGTATTGAGTGGAACATAAATTGTTGTCATTGAAGGGTAGGGTGTGGCAGATCATATTTTTCCAAAGATGACTTTAACAATATCTCCTATCCATATGCTCTTATTGTGGGACTTGGGCATTCCGCCCACTGAGCAGTGGGGTCTATGGTCCCTCCCTTTGATATTAGGTAGACTTGTGTGATTTTCTTTTCAGCCACCATGTAGTGAGAAAGGCAGCTCTGAAACAACACAAAAAGAGTCAAACCCTCTCAGAACCACCCAGCTGAGCTCTTCCTGAATTCCCATCCCACAGAAATGGAGATAATTAAATAAATAAGTGTTGTTTTAAACCACTAAGTTGGAGTAGTTTGTTTTGTAGCAATAGATAACTGGCACGTGGTAAGATATTAACATGTGGAGAATTTGTGTGGCAAGTATACAGGAATTCTGTGTAGAATGGTCCTCTATCCCATGTGTAATGAATGGGTGGGGCTACAAAGATCACAGTTAGGATTTTCTTAGGATTACTCCTGGCAGTCTAGATCACACAGGTCAACACCTACAATCAGGGAGCTGAGCCGGAACTTTGGGATGGGGAAGCAAAATTAATTGACTCTGAAATTTTCCCCTCATCTCTGCAGCACCTGGATACCCTGTACATAAAGCTAGGAACAGCTTGTTCTTCAACTCTGTGGCTAGGAAAAAGTGTAGCCTGGATTTTCCCTCTCCTAACCCCTTGATTTGTCCTGGGAATTACATTCTACAAGGAACCCTCTCCTTTCTGAAATTTGTCTTGGATGGGAAGAAAGGGTCTGGACTTAGCATATGGTGAGTCCCTGTCTCTTCTTACTCTATTTGTAATCAGCTGCCTTCTCCTCCCTTGAGAAAATGGGCTCAAAGTACTTTGACATCAATAGTCGTGGAGCAGAATCTCTGGGAGTGAGATGGGGAGACTTGAAAAAGAATGCTAGCCTATGAATTTTTACTTCTGAGTCATTCGAAGAGAAAGCAGCATCTCTAGCATGTCAACAAGCCCAGCAGAATCCAGTGATGTTCACTGAGACGGCTCTATCCAAGCAGGGTCAGATGATAGAGTGGTAAGGTGTAGAGAGCTCTCGCTGATTATAGAGGGTGCCAGGAGTCATGGAGGAGGTCAGCAACCGGTGAGGAAATTCACTTTAGTGGAAACATTTGGGATAGTGTACAAGAAAGAGTAGCTAGAAGTGAGGATTCAGGAAATAGAGAATGCCAAAGTCTCAATTAATAGATGACTAGAGTTTAGGCATTAAGATGGAGAGCTAAAGGAGTGGGAGAGTTAGAATAGCAGCAATAGTACTCAAATATTACATGAGTGTGAAGATCATAAGGAAAATATTGTTTGAGACTATGAGGCAGTTAGGTCAGAAAAAGTGAAGAATGGACATCTTTTTTTTCTTTTTATCTCCTTGTCTTTTGACCCCCTTCACCCATTTCTTTGGGGGTCAAAGAAAGTCTTTGAAGAATCTTTGAAGAAAATCGTTGTCTTCCCTTGATTCAATTCCATGAACACTTATTGGAACTTTGTTATTCATCACATTTCTCTGTAAGATGCCAAGGAAGCTGATGATAAGACAGAATTCCTGCCTGCAAGGGGCATATAGTCTGACAGGGGAGAGACATGTAAACCAATGACAATACTGTAGGAGGTAATTAAGGAGGTATGTACAAGGTGGGTACAGAGGTGACCCCAAGACATGGGAATCAGGGCTGGGAGAGGAAGAACCAGGAGTCATCGGCACAAAGAGAACCAGGCTGATGAAATCCCAAAGCAGGTAAGCATAGTGGAGCCCTGCACAGAGCACTGGAGGACAAGGACACACTGGACAAGAAAAGGAGGGATCTAGAAGAACTGAGAGGATCCATAAAAGCACTTGGAATAGGGAATTTGGGAACACCAATGAGCATATCAAGGAGGGAGCTAGTTATGAGGAGGTAGAGTGTAAACCAGCTAATGGAAGATGAAGAAACAAGAATTGTTTATCAGCACATTGAGAGCGAGACAATAAGGTTGATAAAAACTCAAGTGATATGTGTATACGTAGACGATTTCGTTAGCTCGATTTAGGGGTAAAGGTATAGACTTTTTGGTAGGAGACGAAAAGGAATGTGTAACACAGTAGAAAATTGAATTTGGGGATTAGAGTAACAGGCTGTGATTGAAAGTCATAAACCCAAACAGGAGATAAAACCCAGCCTCAACTACTGAGTTACTTTTATTACTCAATTTCCTTTGCAGTAGCCGTGAAAAAGATAAGAATCCGTCATCTGACTACTATGGAATCAGGTGTAAATGGTTGTTCCTTCTGTGCTCAGTCAGACGGGCTGGAGGAATTGTTACCCTGTTGCTAAGGAAAAAGGAAGGGGCTGTTCCCAGTTGCCATGGTGACGAGGTAAGGGCGCTCCCTCGGTACCGCCGTAAATTTATGAGGCGGGTTCTTGTCCTTGCTGCTATGGCAATCTAGAGGGACTGTTCTCGTCGCCCCCCACCTCCCGCCGCCGTTGCTAAGACAAGGTGGAGGTAGGGGCTGTCCTTCCCCTGTCGCACAGTTGCCTTGGAGACGGCGGGTGCCCTGGCCCCGCCCCGCTCGGACTGACAGCGGAGGCCGCATCGCGCCTGCGCAATGCTCTCTTCCCCCGCAGTCTCTGACCGTTGAAGCCGGGGACCGCGGCGGCCTCTGCTAGGACCCTCCGCCCCGGAGCCACCGGCCGGAGCCGCAGCCTCAGCCGCAGCGCCCCGCCGCCTGTCCCCCCTCCCCCGCCGCCTCCGCCGGAGCAGCCTCGCGCACTGTGAGTCCGGGCCGAGGCGACGGACGCCGTGGGGCTGAGTCAGCGGGAGGCCCGGGCCCGGTCTGGGGGAGGGGAACCGGGCTGCCGCCTCGCCTCCCCAGCCGCGCCCCCGCGCCCCAACCGCGTCTCACCACAGCCAGCCCCCGTCCTCCATCCCACTCTCCTGGGCTTTCTACGGCCTCTGCAGTCAGGCCTCCTGGGCCACTCCCCCTGCCCTCCCTCCCTCCAGACCCACCTCGGGGGGTCCTTCCCCCACTAGATTCGGCGCTACGGTACCTCCTCCCCGGATTGATCTCCCCCCTAACTGCCTCCTGTCCGCCCTTGCCGCTTCTTACCCCTTTGGGGCCTCACATCTCCGGCCTCTCGGTTTTCTCCAATGATAAGCCAGAGAAACAGTGACAAGGGAGAGAGCGAGGGGCATCTTGGCGGTGGGGGCACCTTATGCCCACCCAAGTCTTGGAGCCACAGGTTTCTTACCCACACGCTCCTGCCCTGGCTGGTGTGGGAAGCAGGTCTGGACAATTCTAACTGACTGCTAATAGCTTGTGGGGCTTTCGGAATAGATTTTGCCGAGGATTCAGCCACATTGTGATCAGCTACTGTTCATTGGGCACCAGCTAGGGCACGGTGGCCTTCTAGTGGGCTGAGCGATTGCCTTGGCTGGTGCTGTGGCGAGGGACTAGAGCTAGTGGAGGGAGGGGGGAAAAGGTTGCGTTTGGGAGCTGAAGTTCCTGCGCTTCCGGTGTGTTGTTATGAATAAGCATCTTGCAGTACTCTAAAAAAAATTTTTTTTTTCTCGCAATACAACCCTGGAACACTGTGAGGCTTGGAAATAGGCCTGATACCATAGCAAGTGCTACTGTTTGTATGTTGAGGGTTTGTGGCAGACTTGCTCTCTGATACCTGTAAATTCCATGTGCTGGCCCACTAGGGAATAGTGGGTTTTAACATAAGATGTACAGAGTAGAAGGGGAAGAACTTAGATTTCTCCATGGTGTAGGTCTCAGGCCAGTACCCTTGCCTCTTACAGCTGTGAGTCTTAGTGAGGGCTGTCACCTGATAGGGTTCTAGCATATTTGGACAATTCCCTGGGTTATGTTGGCTACCTATCACCTGCCCATCTTGGCATTCCCTGATCTTGGAATAGAAGATCCCAAACTATTTTCTTTTTCCAGCAGAAGTCAGAGTTAGTGCCCACACTCAGGAGCTGGCTGTTAATAAACATGCCTCAACTCGAGGCTTCTAACTACTGTGTGTGTACCTCATTGCCAACTTCTTTGATTATTTTGGCTCAACAGACTTCAGAGTACTGTTAGAAAATATGTGTAAATATTAGCCAGTTAAACTGTACAAGAGGCTTTGGGTTATTCACTGCGGGCTGCAAAAGGAGTAGATGGCTCATTTCTAAAAATCATGGTGAAGAACCCACTAATTGAGAATTTCTGGGATTGTAAATAGTGAGAAATAACGATTTTGTTCCTTGACTTTGTTCAATCATGGCCTGTTGGCAGCTTCTTCTGAACGACTCCCCACCCCCATGCCCATCAGATTAGTTTACAGTCGTGAAGACGGCTGTCGCCCTAGTTTTAAACACAGAGATGAAGTTCAGGGCAACTACAGCCCCCAGGCAGCAGTGCAGTTTCTTCTGTTTCAAATGCCAGTCTGGGGTTTGGCGGGGTGCACCTGCCCGTGGGGCGATGGGAACTGTGGGGCCCGAGAGTTACATTCCTTCTATGTGGTCCTCTGTGTCACATAGCTCACTGAAATACCCAAGCAGGGCAGGAGCAGACAGCTGTGCTGGAGAGCTGCTCCTCCTGGGTGGAGTGTATTTTGGGAATCAGCGATATTACTGGGGTGGACGGTTGTGAATTAAGAAGCAAGAAAATGTGTCAAGGCTAGATAGATCAGGAGGGTTTGAGTAAAATGTTCCCTTTCCACTTTGCTGTGGGACAGTCCATTTTCAGAGCATCACAGTGGTTTTTATATGGGTTAATTTGCCTTTGAAATCCATACCAGTGTTTTATGAGATAATGATGGAATGCCTTTTAAACTGCTACTGTTGGGAAACAGGACCTGAGTCTTGCTCACCACCTACCCAGTCGTTACTGAATGTAATTGTTCAGATCAGGGAGAGGGACATGATTTGAACCAAGTTAGACCTAATCTGTGTAATCTATGTTATGGTTTTGTAGCACAACAGTTCCTTGATTCTAAGACACACCAGCAATTTACCAATAGCTGTTAGGTAAAATAATTCAGCACTACCAGATCAAGATATATATGTTAATTCAAAGGTGCATCCTAATTTCAGGCACATTAAAATAGCCAGAAAGCAAACTTCTTAAGGAGAGATTTGGGTGTCTTAGAACTGAAGAAGAGTAATATTTATAACATTCCTGGGTGTGTGACGATGCTGTTACTAACCTACCATCCTGAGATTATACGCACTGTGAGGACAGATTTCTTCAAGTCCTTCCCCCAAGCCAGCAGTCTACTCTAAGGATTATGTGTGTCAGATGATTGGAGTTGGGCACAATAGTTGACTATTGAACAGAAGAAAGTACCTATGTAGGAATCCAACCCAAGGTCTTAATAGGGCACCCTTCAGAAGCTGAGCCAACTGGCTTGGTAGCAGATATTTTATGAGCTATGCCTGAATTTAGCCAGGTAAAATCTTTCAGAAGCTGAACAGAAAATAAAATTTTTCTATACCAGAGTGAATCTGCCCTGATATGTTTACAGACATATTTGTAAAGATCCTAAAGCGTATGTCCTCCACCTATACGATGTTAGAAGCAGAGGGGACATCAGATGGTGCAGTTCAGTGTTCTTATTTACAAATGTTGACACAAGACACCAAGAGTTAAGAGACTTGCCCGAGGTCACCCATCTAATGTAGAAAGTATGTGAAAACACTTAGTAAACTGTAATATACACCATGCAACTAGATGTTGGTGGTTATTAGTGGCTGAGTCAGAATTAGAACCTAGATTTCCAGACTAGAGCTATTCTACAATCCTCATATTGCTTCATCCCTCATGTTTAATATTCCAGAGGGTTTTATTAAAAGTCATTTAGTAGTCTGTAATTAGGCCTGTGGACAAGGGCTTGTTTTATTGTCACAGATGTTGCAAAGCCAGGTGAAACTTAGTGTCACACTGTCTAATTAGACATTTGTTTTTGCCACCTTAAAAAAAACAATTTTTCCTCACACATTCCAAATTCAGGAAAGTTTTTCTTTTTAAAATTTGCATCATCTAACCTAAAGCAAATGTAAGGGTGGATGTTGGAAATCTTCTCCATCTCTTATCTGTCAGCTTCTGCATTCCAGGAAGCAAGGAGGAAAGGGCTGAGAGGGGGCAGAGAGGAGGAATAAACTGGATTATCTTCCAGCTCCCAGAATGCAACCATCATTAGTTCCTGGAAGCTGTAGAGAGTACCAGTCCTTATCCTTGATAAGGTGAGGTGGTTGGGCCTCTGGAAGCAGATGGACCTGAGTTCAAATCTCAGTCCTGCCACTTCCTGGCTGTATGACCTTGGGCGAGTTAAGGAATCTCTGAGAGTCAATTTCCTCACCTGCAAGCTGGGATGATAACCATCTGTTTTACAGGGTGGCTGTGAGGATTGAATGAAAGTACGTAGAGTACCTCCTGATAAGAGATAGCAACCATCATTTCATATTACAAAAGTATGAAATAAAAAATAATGCTTTCAAAATTTTATTGTAACTTAAGTCCATCTTGGACCCTCAACTCAGCAGCCCGCATTTCCCAGTAGCCTTGTCAGTGGGTTTGACCTGCACAGAGATTTGTCCTGTGAGGACCTGGCACTTGCAGTGCTATTTCAGCTGCCAAAATAGAAGTATATGAAATGCCCCTTTGTCTCCATGTATTCAGCTGACCTGGTTATCTGAAAGACTGGCGGGGCAGGAGCAGTTGACTAGGAAAGCACAGACTGGGTGTGTTTGTGTGTGTTGTGGGGGCAGTCAGGCCTCCAGTTGGGGAGGCCAGTCTGGGCAGTAATCTTAATTTGAAATAGAAAAGATGCCGAGCTCTCCCTTATGAGTAAAGTTCACATGGCCTTCATTCACTTTCTCTACTATTAGAGGTGCAGCTTCAGTCAGTGACTTTGCTCAGTTCAGCTTCTGCCTCCACGAGATCTGGAGGGCCAAGGAAAGGAGCATTCGTCTTAGGAGGGAAACCTCCTCATGAGCGAGAGGAGTAAAGGGAGGTCGTTTTGGACTGCAGCAGTTCTAGATGGGGTCAAGGCAGAGACTATCTTGAGCCAGGGGAAGCCATTCAGGTGGAACACAAACGAACTTAAATTCCTGATTTCATTTGGGAAGAAAACACTCATATCTAGGCATCTGAGGACTGAACAGATAAACACAATAGGTTTTACCTTGGGAAGACGAAATTGGGAGGAGGGAAAGGGAGACCCAAAGGGGAACTTTTAGTTTATATGCTTCTGTATATGAATTATTAGAAGCATGCATGCTTTTGTAATTTAACGAAGACCAGTAGAGTTGGTAGTGGTGGTTCTTCCATAAGTATATTTTGGTATAAAAGAACCAGTTACCTTTACTTGGCACTTCCAATGAATGGGGCAAATAGGGTTAGGCCACTTCCTTACAGCATCCAGGTTAGTTTGCACCAAACCAAGCTCTTAAGCGAGGGCAGGACCCTCCAAAGTGTCTGCTTCCCTGGAAGCCCAGGATACTTCATTTGACTTCCTACCTCACCACCTCTTCCTAGTCTTTTCATTCCCTTCTTAAGAATAGTCCTCTCCTTCTCTTGACCAGTTGAAATAACCCTTATTATTGTAATAAGCTAACTTAATTTTCAACTATTGATGAAAATCTGACCAAATGACCTTTATGAAAAATCCATGCCCTGTACTTCACATCAAGCAAGGGGTTCCTTACTTGAAGTCCAAAGGAACCCCAGGTGAAATGCTGATGCACTGTTACAGTAGCTGCATTTTAGATCAAACCCGGCTGA